CCGGGGGGTGGGGGAGTGACAGGCCCGCTCGGGGGGTGACAGGCCTGCTCGGGGGGGGTGACAGGCCCGCTCGGGGGGTGGGGGGGTGACAGGCCGGCCCAGGGGGTGACAGGCCCGCCCGGGGAGTGACAGGTCTGCCCGGGGGGTGACAGGCCCGCCCGGGGGAGACAGGCCCGCCCGGGGGGTGACAGGCCCGCTCGGGGTGTGTGGGGGGTGACAGGCCCGCTCGGGGGGTGGGGGGGTGACAGGCCCGCCCGGGGGGTGGGGGGGGGTGACAGGCCCGCTCGGGGGGTGGGGGGTGACAGGCCCGCCCGGGGTGCGGGGTGTGAGAAGCCGCTGGCCTGGTTCGCGGGGCAGGGTGTGCTCTCCTGTGAACAGCCTCACACTCAGTGTGTGTGCACGGCACATACACACAGCTCAGCGGCCGTCCGGGCCTCCGGGGCGCAGGTCCCGGCCCCGGCAGCAGCATTGCCTCCCAGCCCGCGGCTCCGGCTGGGGGCGGCGCCACTGGGGGCGGCTGACGGAGCTCGTGCGGTGACTGGGGCGAGACCAGAGGAAAGCTGCACAAGAGACAAGGCCAGGGAGACACCGGACACTAGCAACCGACCGCGTCGGAGAACAGCCGGGCCGGCAACTCGTGGCCAGTGAAGGAAGTCCACGTTCAAGAAAAACACGTTAGGCAGCAGCATGCACTCAGAACGTGCATCAACGTTTCAACTGCTGGAAACTCCATTTAGGTTGTACTTTATTTTTTTAAATATATTTGTACTGATTTCAGAGAGGATTGGAGAGAGAGAGAGAGAGAGAGGGAGGGAAAGAGAGAGAGAGAGAGGGAGAGACATCAATGATGAAAGAGAATTATGGATCTGCTGCCTCCTGCACGCCCCCTACTGGGGATCAAGGAATGTTGCCAGCCGTGGCCTGAGAGGTGGGAGCGTGGGGTGTGTGCTGTGGAGTCTGAGAGTGTCCTCTAGAGGTAAAAACCTAATTTCTATTGGCTGAAAATCAAGACTTATTAGTATTTTTACAAAAGACTGGACGAAACGGGCCATAAGCTGACCTGACAGCTCAGGGGAGGCCTGCATGGCGGTCTTGCAAACTCAGACCTAAACTCACCACAAAGGGTGGTCTGAAATGAAACTTTTAACTAAACGCAGTGATGGTGGGTAGTTACGTCCTATCTGTCTTTTTGTATCTATGATAACACACCCTTGAAATGTCAGGGTAACTGGTAACTTCCCTTTTTCTGGAGCCCCTGGGGCACAACCTAATGTGCTGGGCGCCAGGACAGAGGCCATAGATTCCTTCATTATTATGTTCATTGTTCCTGCACTCACCTGAGTAGAGTCCATCATTTTACTTTTTATCCAATCCCAGGGGTTTCCCTGCTTTGCTTTCTCCCACCCCCTAATCTGTCACCAATGGATTTCAGGTAACCCACCCGTGTCCCTCCTCTGATGGAATGTATAAATACAGGTGTAACCCGCCATTCTCCGGAGCGCTATCTCAATTTGTTGACGTACTGCTTCCTGGCATATGTCGACGGTTTGGCTCAAATGAACTCACAAAGATTCTCTACAGGTGTCAATGGCTTTTTACAGGTTATTTTCTACAGCTCCGTTCCAGGCTGTGATCCTCGGTAAAAATACCGATGTTCCTTTTCCGAGGCCGATGCTGAGGGAGAGTTCTGACTCCTTCGTTCCTGTGTCCCGGTGCTCGGCCCCTCGTCCATTCACAGACCGACCAGAGGGACCGAAGCCAAGGAATGCGGCCCTGCCTGCCAGGCCTGTCCGCCAAGCCAATCGCTGGGGGAAAAGCTCCAGGAGGTCGATGGCAACTTGACCTCTGACTCAAGAATTCCTTAAAGTGACGGGGCTACTGCCAAATGTGGGCTAATGGAGGGCAGGGCTGGTGTGCTCCCTCCCCAGCCACAGCTGATGGGTGAGCGCAGCCTGGAGCTAAAGCGTTTGTGATGCAGCTGGACAGGGAGGCAGGAGCACTCATCTTACTTACTTTTAAAATGTATTTTTAAAATTGATTTCACAGAGGAAGGGCGGAGGAAAGAGAGAGAGAAACATCCATGCTGAGGGAGAGTCCTGGATCGGCTGCCTCCTGCACGCCTCCCACTGGGGAGCGAGCCCGCAATCCGGGCCTGCGCCCTGACCGGGAACCGAACTGTGACTTTCTGGCTCAACTCCTGAGCCATGCCAGCCGGGCTGGAGAACTTATTTGCAATTGAAATTTCCGGAATACAAATCCGTCGTCATGTTTTTGGAAATGTTCCTAACACGCACAGGCAGAGCGCTCAGCGGTGGTCATCAGCCTCGTGCGAATCAGCTGCACCATCTGCCCCAGATGGAAGCGATGTGGATCAGCGGGTGCTCCACTGGCCTCTGAGCTCAAAGGGAACACAGCAGAGTTGCAACAGAGGAGGAGAATTTGCTCAACGTGGACCGGGGTCATTGTGAAAGCGAGGCTGCTTCTGCCTCCAAGAGAATTCTCCTGTGAAGTGTTTTGTCCATGTGAGTGCAGAGGTTAAAGGGGGCAACCTGGGGAGGTGCTCGATCCAGTCGGGGATTCCAAGCTGTGTGGGGTGACCTGGGTGTGGGGACATGCATCGTTAAGCGGTAAACCCCGTGAAACGTAAATGCAGACCGAGCATTGCCGACGAGGAACTGTAAGTCTAAATGCTCACCAGACTTAGAAGGGGAAGAAGAACCTAAAATATTTCAATAACTTCTATGTTGATTCCATATTGAAATAGCATCCTGGCTGTTTGGGACTAAGCAGACGAGTAAGATCGATTCCACCTGTTTCCTCTTGCGGTTTAATGAGGTACCGACACCTCACACTACAGCGGCGGCGGCCCCCGTTCCGTTTCCTCTGGGCTGCGTCCGCCCGGCAGTCAGTCCCCTCCTCACGCCGGGTGTCCTCCATGTCGCCCTGTCCTCTCCACTGCTCCCTCTCAGACGGACGGGGTCCATGCTTGGGCTAGTTCCTCTCACCCTTTTTTCCTGGGCCTGGGGGCGGAGTTGCAGGCCCCATTGGGTTCAGGTCGCCAGCTGTTTTCTTGGTGTGGCATCGCGCCAGGAGACACCCGGAGTCATCAGCGGGGCCTCCTGGTCAATCTGTGAGTGACCCGGGAGGGCCTCTGCTGCCGGAAGCTCCCTGCCCCCACGCCTGCCCTCAGGGCTGTAATATCCATCCCGGGATGCTGGCCTCCCCGATCAGTCACTCCCCTGGGTTCTCCTCCTTCAGGGAAGTTTGGTGGTTTTGTTTGTTTACTTGTGAGGGGGCGGGGGAAGCAGTTGGGCTTTCATCCAGGAAGCCATTCAGCTTCTTACACCCACCTTCGGGGTTGAATGAGGAGAAAGTGTACCAGTGCTTCCTGGCCAGCAAAGGACACCTATTAACATTGCTAATAACCAAAACCCCTTTGCCCCTTGAGGCCACCGCTCCCCCCTCAGCAGGAAGCACAGGCTGTGCCCACCTTCCTGGTGCTGCCAGTGTTAGGGGCGACCCGCAGGAGACGACCCCCAGACAGGGGTCAACATTTCTGGGTCTTTATCAAGCTGGCCAGCGGCTACAGCGGCAGCACTTCACCGCGGCAAAGGCAGCACTGCAGTGCCGGCCACAGGAATCCACAGAGGGAGGGAGGACAGCTACAAGGACAACCCAAAGGTTACAAACGCCATTGCAGCCGTTTCAGGGCACAGGTGCAACGGCTGGGCACGCCTGGCCGGAGCGTGAACTGCCCCTCCCTCCAAACTCCAGCGGGCCCATTGTCGGTGACTGCTCCACCTCCCTCCGCCCCAGGGCATCCTGCCTCCAGGAGAGAACGCCAGGAGGCGGCCCTGTGGACGGAGGCCAGCTGTGACCGGGAGGTCCGAGAAGAACGTGATTCTCATCCATCAGCGGCTTGCTAGTTCTTAAAAGCATTTCTCCTTCTTTAATGCCATTTATTTGTTAACAGATAACACATGTTCATTCTTCAAACGTCCAAAGGGGAACGAGGGCCCAGGGAGGCGTTTCCCTCCATCCCTCGAACCCTTAACCATCCTCAGGCCGACATGTCTCCTGTCTGCAGGCTGTTTCGTTGTCTCTGTGTGCAAGAGAGTGGCGTGTCTGACATGGGCCTGCGCCTCGAGGCCGTTCCTGTACATGTTAACGGTCGGCCCACACCGCCTAGGGCCTGTTCTTCCCACCTCCACAAGGAGGGAGGCACAGGGACCACCAACTCCGCCCGGGGAGGGTGCACACGCCCGCCTACAGGGCTGGGGCTGTAGAAAATTGCCCGTTGGCCCATTGCTAACGTGGACACAGGCTCCCATCACCCCCTGTTCCAATCGACCATCCCCTATCCCAACTGATCACCCCCTATTCCAATCGACCATCCCCTATCCCAACCGATCACCCCCTATTCCAATCGATCACCCGCTATCCCAATCGATCACCCCCTATTCCAATCGATCACCCCTATCCCAACCGATCACCCCCTATTCCAATCGATCACCCCTATCCTAATTGATGCTCCCGGGCCAGGTCGGTCACCGAACGCAGCTTAAATGACTTAGATCAGCGCACTGAGGGCCAGTCCCAAGAACCAAACAGTAAAACCCGAATAATAGGACCCCCGCTGCGGAACCTCGGTGAACCGAGGCCCCGCGCACGCTGAGGCCTCGGTGACCTTGGCCCGGGGCAGCGGCAGCGAGCGGCCCTGCTGCGCCCGCACCTGCGGCCGGGGCTGGGGCCGGGGCGGGCGGGGACCCGGCGGGGCCCGGGGCCGGAGGTGCGGGCGCGGTGCCCTTGAGGGGACGCCGCGGCGGGTGCCACCGCCTAGCAACCGCCAGCCAATCCCCGCGCGGCCCGGCCATTTTATGGCAGAAGCCCCGCCCCGCCGCCGCCGAGGGGCGGGGAGAAGTGTGCGGCGCGCAGCGGCCAATCCGCGGGCCGCCTCCCACGCCCAGCCCTCCCATTGGCCGAGCGCCGCGGCCGTAAGGCGTGACGCGCGGCGGTCGCGGCGGTGTCCTCTGTCCGCTGGGCCGGGCGCTGGGCTCCGGGAGCGGCGGCGAGGGCGGCGGGCGCTGCGTGCGGCACGGCCATGGCGGGCGCGCTGGTGCGGAAGGCGGCGGACTATGTCCGGAGCAAGGACTTCCGGGACTACCTCATGAGGTGAGCGCGGCCGCAGCTCGGGCCCGGAGGAGGGCACGGGCGGGGCGCGGGGCGGGGGCGCGGGGCCGGGGCCGGGGCCGGCGGGGGCCCGGGGCTGGGACGGCGGGCGGGGCCGGGGCCGGGGCCCGGGGCTCGAACGGCGCGGGGCAGCCCCCGGCGGGGCGGCGGGAGCGCCCTCTGCACCTGCCCGGGCGGCGGGGCCGGGACGCCGCAGCCGAGCCCTGCCCGGGGACAGGTGCGCGGCGAGGCCGCCTCCCCGTTCACGGACTGAGACCCCCAGTGTCTCCCGTGCGGGGCGGGCGCTCTGCGCCCCGGGAGCCCCGCTCCGCCCCCGCCGCCCGCCGCCCGCTTATCTCCGATCGGAGCTCCCGCAGCCGGAGCCGCTGGGCGGCGGCGGGCGGGGCGCCCCGGGAGGCGGGGCTGCGGGTCCGGGGGCGCGGGCCCGGCGAGAGGTGCCGGGTGGCTGTCCGCGCCCCCGGGCCTGGGGCGGCACCGTTCACTGCGGGCCCCGCGGGGCGGGCGGGCGGCCAGGCCGGGCCGCGGCTCCGGTGTCGGAAAGTCTGAGCGAAGCCGTCCCTCCAGGGCGGTCCGGCGGGCTCCGCCCTCTGTCCCCGGTGTCGGTGTCCGAGCCTCCCGGGTCGGGTGCAGCGATTGGGTGTCTCCGAGGAGGCGGCCTTGGCGCCGTCCGTGCCGGAGGCGGCGAGGATGCCCGTCCGGAGCGGAGCCGGGTCTGGGTTTCTGGCTGCTGCCGCCCCGCTGCTCTGGGGGCCGGGCTTTCAGCCTCTGGGCCTCGCGGCCCCCCCTTCCCCCTCCATTAACTGAATCGGGCCGGACCGCTTCATTTTTTTCTGGGAACTTGTTTTTCCTGCCGTTCTTGGCAACAGCGGCTTCTCCCTGTGGCTGCCAGGCGTTCTTACGCAGGACCTTTGGGTTGGGCGGCTCGGAAGGCAGTTTCTGGTCCCTGCCCCTTTCTGCCGCCACCTTCAGCAGGGCTCCTGGGCCTGCGCACCCGTGGAAGTGCAGTACAGGAAACGTGAAACCAGAAGGCACAGACTCCGGCCTGGCCCGGGCCTGGCCTGCCTGTTACTTACCTGAGTACACGTTCCCCTTCGGCAGATCAAAGGGAAGGCTTGGCACACAATGTGAGGGTGTCCGGGTTAGGGAATGGCCTTGAGCCCCTAAGCCCACAGCAGGGCAGCAGTGTGCTGACCTTCAGCCCTGCTGAGTATCAAAGTCCATGGCCTTCCGATGTTTTCTTTTACATTAATAGGCCGACTGCTGTTGGCTCTAGCCTCCGGCACCTTTCTGTTTGCACCAAAGTCACCTGCTGTAAACTGAAGTTAGAATTTGAACTATTGTCAATTCCAGGAGAGAGTCCTGAATTGAAAACTAAAGTATCTCCAAGATGGCATTTAGATGCTGAGTACTGCACCTTTTAAAACGTTCCTGTCGGGAAAGGAGCATGTGTTGTTGCCAATACTAGTTCAGTGAAAGGCCTTGTTCAGGCCGGAGCCAGTAAGGGGAGTGGCCATGGCTGTCTCCCACCGCCGAGGCCATCGCTGCTGGTGTGGACTTGCTGTGACACGTCTGAGGCAAAATTTATTAGGCTTTTTGCTCCTTATATTTCATAGCAGAACCTACTTAGCACTGTCAACAGACAATTTGTGCTGTGAACTAGGGTCTCCACGGACTCCGGATCAAAGCCAGAAGGGTTGTTTGGACGCGTCTATGACAGAGTCTATCAGAGTATTTCAACAACTTGTTCAGTAGATAAACTAAGATTTTACCTTCACAGAACAACCTAGCTACATCCTGGCAGGAAGAATTGCCATTTCAGAAATAAAAGGAATTCACTGAAACTTCCTATATATCGATATTCTAAATGGGATAAAGCTCAGTGCTCAGGAAAACAGTTGGGTTGACATTGGAAGTTTTTACTGTTCATTTACTCAATAAATGTGTTTCTGAATGTCCTGGGAATGGAGGGCCCCCCTTCAGAGTCCTGATTCTCAGTAGTAAACAAAGTAAATCACACACCAGCTCTTCTCAGGGGCTTCATTCGGTGATAACCTACGAGTAAATAAAACGGGAAGCTGTTGTTAACAGAATTCTGCAGCATTGTGCTTCTCTCCAACTTGTCATTTTCTAAGGAATGGTCCCCATGTGGTGTGAGAGCCATGAGCCACCTGAAATGTGGCCCGTCCCTGTGCCAGCACACACCGCATACAAAGTAGAACACAAGATGTCGCATGCATGCGTCGCCACTGGTTGCTCAAATTACAGTGCTTTGGACATGTGGGAATAAATAGACTTAATATGATAAAATTAACTTCTGCTTTTCCTTCTAGAAATTTTTAAACTACGTATGTGGCTCCTACTTGTGACTTGCATTATTCTTCTATTGGTGCCCTCTAAGGACTACGTTTATTTTTTATAAAATTAAGGTTTAATTTCATTAGGTCCAAGTTGTTATTAGAAATGTCACTAGACTTCTCAGGGCAAAGAGAGCCGTGCCGCCCCCTGTGCAGCTCCGGCACCGAGACCGCGCAGACTGAGGGGCCCCCCCCCCCCCCCCCCCCCCCGCCTAACAGGACCCCCGCCTCTGGAAACGCCTGACCTTTTCCTTCTCTTTTTTTTCATGTTTCCCTGTCTGCACCTCGGGGACTTCTCACAAAACAGCACGGTAAGAATCCTTCCTCCTTCACTTCAGGCTGGTGTAGATCCTGCACCCACAAAGTTAGGGACAGCAGGACAGCAGGCCCCTTTCCGGAGATAGCCGAGGAGCACCAGGGCCCGGGGAGCGGCTGAGCGGTCCTCGGCCCCTCCCAGTGCACGCTCTGCGGCGCCCAGGGACCCGGCTCGCTGGGAGCAGTGGGCACAGAGCCTGGCCGCCGAGGAGCAGACTCCACACCAATAGTCAGATCACGGCGCTCCTCATTGGTGTGGATGTTCTTTAACCCAAGTGACGAATTTGTAACGAAATAGTAGAAGTATTTTTCCATTTAATCCAAAATATGTTCCTTTTTCCTTTCAAATGTTTATCATGAAATTCCTTCTTTTTCTAGACATTTATGGTGAATATCTGCTAGAGCGTAGACCTAACGTACTTTAAAAAGGGACGCGAGCACGAGAGCCTTGCGCTAGGTAGAAAGCACGTATTAAGCTCGTGAGGTAGGTACCTTAGCCAGCTAGTGTGAGTTATCTGTGCCTTTGTGTGCTTTTTAGGGCTGTATTTACGTACCGGTCATTGCTCACTGCCCCCTCACAGGACCTCCTACAGGCAGCCCTAGCTCGTCACGCCAAGGCTGAGTTGGCGTCCCTGCTGTTACACATGGGTATTCTGATGAAAAGCTGTTGGTCCATTTTTAAAATAGAAATTGTTGCTATTATTTTACAAGTATTTTCCAATCCTTTTAAAATATATGTTTTTATTGATTTCAGAGAGAAAGGGAGAGAGAGAGATTGAAACATCAGTGATGACAGAGAATTATCGATCAGCTGCCTCCGGGCCCACTACTGGGCATTGAGCCTGTGACCCAGCCATGTGCCCTTGTCTAGAATCAAACCCAGGTCCCTTCAGTCCCGGCAGTGCTCTGCCCACGGGGCCACACCAGCCAGTCTTAGTATCTGGGGCTCCTGAGTGTAGTGTCCCAGGGTCTCAGATCTTAAAATAGCGCATGAGCCAAAGCCATTTCCCCGTATTAAACACAGCTTCTTTCTTCAGAAAAAGGATCCAGGTTAGGGTCTGCATATTAAGAGATGTCAATAAAATTTAAAAAAGAAGTTTTGATAGATGTAAGCATTAAATTATGGAGAATAGCTATCACACATTTTGAGTTATGGCAAGACGGAATTGTGTAAGAAGTTTGGAGCTCTAAGTGGGACAGTCAGAGGTTACTTGGTTGTCATCGGAAAGTTGGTCAGGACTGGTAAGCTGCCCAGTCCCCTCTGGCTCTGAGCTCACCTGAGGGAACTGCTGACTCACAGGCAGACCTCAGCGGTGACCAGTAAGCCCGCAGGACGGAGCTTGGGATTTGTTCCCCGAGGCTCACAGTGATGAGAGAGGAGCACAGCTGTTCACAGCTCCGCCCTAATTCCTCCTCTCTCCTTCCCCTTCCCTTCCCTCCATAGCACTTCTGGGGCCCAGTAGCCAACTGGGGGCTCCCCATTGCCGCCATCAATGACATGAAAAAGTCCCCGGAGATCATCAGTGGGCGGATGACGTTCGGTGAGTGCTCGGCACCCTCACCCTCTCCTGTGCCGTTAGCATAAGCAGCTCCAGCGGCAGCTCCGGACGGGACAGCCCCTTAGAAATGCATCGCCCCCCCATGGGAGGGAGAGCAGGGCTCGGAAATGCTGTCCCGGGAGAGCTGGGTCTGCTAGCCGGCAGGCTGACACACCAGCTATCTGATATCTGGCCATAAAGCTGCTGAGAGCTGACAGCAGTCCTGCGGTGAGGGACTGTGAGCAGCCCGGGGGGACAGGACCGCGGCTGGAACTGAGGAGCCGCCCGCCCTCCGACACTCCGTCCTTAACGTGCCCCACAGGGAGCCCGGTATCCGCTGAGCTTCCCCTTCCGGGTGCATCTCCGCCAGAATTACCTCCTGGCAGAGGCCTTAGCGGGAGGGCTGCCCCGTGGCTCAGGCGGGCGCGCTGTGGACCGGGGGCCGCCACGCCCGTCTCCGAGCCGTGAGTCACTGCCCTCTGCTTGCTCTTGGCAGCCCTCTGCTGTTACTCGCTGACGTTCATGAGATTTGCCTACAAGGTGCAGCCTCGCAACTGGCTCCTGTTCGTGTGCCATGCCACCAATGAGGTGGCCCAGCTCATCCAGGGCGGGCGGCTCATCAAATACAAGTAAGCGGCGCGGCCCACCCTCTTCGCTGAGGGCGGGAGGCGGGCCGGGCCTGCTGGGCGTTTGGGCCGTGAGTGAGCGCAGTGGATGGGAAGCCGTTTCTGAGGCAGCGGTGCTGTAGAGGGTGAAGCAGTTAGCGCCTGCGCAGGTAATGCCACGCAGCGCAGATGCACTATGACAGCAGGGAGTCGGGTGTGTCTTCGTAACACTGAGGCGAATGTTGTGTGAGGTCTTCCCTCCGGCCTTGAAACTCCCCATTTCCTTGTGTCTCCCTCCAGGATGAAGGAGAAGGCATCAGCGTAACACTGGCAGGGAGGGCTGGCGCTGGCAGGGAGGCTCTGCCCGCTGCGGAGCCACCGGCTCTGGCACAGGACGTCTGCTGAGGACCCGCCGATGCTGTTTTTACTAACCCAACCGTGTCCACCGAGACAGCAAGAGCCCCCGAGCCCTGACCCGCCCCCAGCGAGTAGTCCTTCCCGTGATCCCAGCGATGCTTGCTCCGAGCTGTGTGTTACCTGTGAGGACTTGCTGAACGAGCGAAGCCTGAGGCTCTGAGACCTGAGTGCTCAGCACGCTCCACTTGCTGTGTACGACCACGAGGCATCCCACAGCTGGCTCCGTCCTTAAGCTTTCACCCCGGGTCTGAAAAGTACCCGTTGCCATGCAGTGTGTGTCTGGAAGGCTGTAACTAACGGCAATAAATGATTTAAATGTTTGTCAATGGGAGTGACAGGTGCCCGCCATGTTTGAAGGCTCTGCAGGGCCATGTCCCTGCAGCACAGGCTCCGTCTAACGTGAACTCCCTCCCCGGTGCTGAGGGGAGAGGACGGGAAGGCAGCTTCCGGGGTGCTGTCCTCCGAGCAGTCAGACGGTTCTTTCTCACCGGCCACGTTAGGAAATGCACCGTGTTGTCCCGGAGATGCCCGGCTTCCTCGGCCCTGCGGGGGCGCTGGCCTCCTGTCCTGAGGATCCCGAGCTGGGCAGAGCTGGGCAGTGTCCCTGTGGGGCCGTCCCTGCTGCAGGGGAGGGGGGACCAGGTAGAGGAGGGACCTCCGGGAGGGGGGACGGGGACTTGGTGGAGACCCCGCTGCGCCAGGGTGAGCCCAGGAGACAGCGTGGAGCGTGTGCCTGGCCTGCGTTCCCCACTTCACCCACACCCGCTCGGCCCGCGGAGGGCTCTTCCTCGTCTCTTTCTGATGGAAGGCTCTGGTGCTTTAAAAGGACCGTATCCGCTGTCTGTCGCTGGCACGAGGGGCGCTGAGGACACCTGGGCGGGCGGAGGGAAGCGACCCAGTGGCACAGAAGACAGACCCAACAGCCAACCTCTGCTCCGCGGCCGGGCGGCGGGAGGTGCTGGGGGGCTCCTGCTCTGTCTTCGGGGTTTGCCGAGCTCCGTGCCCTAGAGACGCGGGAGGTCCCGGCCCAGACCTGTCTGGTCCGTGCGAGAGCAGCGCACCGGAGGCTCCTCTGGCCGGCGGCCAGTGCGTCCTCCCAGGGCCTGGGGTTACGGAGAACGGGGCCATCCATCCCCAGCACCGGGTACACACCGGAGACCCTGGGAATGGAAGTGTGAGAGCGAGGGTGGGCGACGCCGGCCTGGGCCGCTCCCACCGCCAGGACAGGTCAGCTGCCAGCTGCAGACAGCCTCCCCCGCAGAGGGCCCAAACCGCCCGTGCCGTCCGTTCACGCAGTGGAGAGAGCGGAGGACAGCAGCCGGGCTCCCGTCCAAGGCCGTGGGCACCGGATGTCGCCGCGGAGGTGCCCTGCTGGCCCCGCGCTGTGATGGGCTCGGGGACCAGGTGACGATTGACAAGCACTTCCTGCTCTGCCAGGGCCGGCCGAGCCTGCTGGGGTCCTGGCACCGAGGAGCCGCTGCCCGCGGTGTTCGGCCGGGCAGGAAGCTGGTGAAGGGCCTCTTGTTTGGCAAAGCCCTTCGGCCACGGTTGGTTTGGGGCTGTCCCTCCCTCCTGGCCTCCTCCCACGCCCCAGGCAGGAACCGCAGGAACCCTCTGCTGCTCGCTCCAGGCTGCGTTCCATTGCTCCCGTCCGTCCGCCTTCTCACTAGGTTTCTCAGTGCAGACAGTCTGAGACGGGAGCCAGCAGGCGGTTTGTCTCAGTTTCCAGTTTACGGTCCAGAAGAGAAGCGAACACCAGCACCGCGTCACCAAAAGCAAAGCCCGGGGACCTGGGGCTCGAGGCGAGGCAGGTTGGTGGCCCTGGGAGGGCAGCACACCAGTTGCCATGGTAACTATTTTGAATTTTTTCTGGCTTTTTCTCTTGAGCATGATAATAGACTCGAACTTTTATAGACTTAATGTGTTGTTTTAAATTCTCATCCAAAGATAGGTTTTATTGATTTTAGAGAGAGGGAGAAAGCAAGGAACATCGATGTGAGAGAGAAACATCGGTAGGTTGTCTCCCGTATGCCCTGCTCAGGGATCGAATCCACAGCCCAGGTATGTGCCCTGACCAGGACTGGAACCCACATCCTGCTGGTGTACAGGATGGCACTCCAACCACGTGGGCCACCAGCAGGGCGAGACTTACTGTGTGTTCACCAGCTGCACTTCTCTTGGCTCCTGTGCTGTTACAGCAGCTGCCGGGCGGCGGGGGTCCTGGCTGCTCCTGCTCTGTCTCCTGGGGTCTGCACGTGGGTGTCTTTGGGAGTTCCTCTTGTCCCCACACAAGCTGGAGGCTGCCTGCCCTCGGCTTGCCCGCCCACACAAAGCCACACCCGGGCCCTGGCCGGGTCTGAGTGGTCCCTGCACCACGCCTCGGGCCCGGTGCCAGAGCGGCGCTGCTTTCTGCCCTGCTGTGTCTGAGCACGCCAGTTCCTAGTAACGGTTCTGAGTGCACGGAAAGGAGCCGTCGATTGTTACGTAAGCGCTTTCCCGAGGGAGCTGTCTGCAGTGGTCAGAAGTTCCGAGAAGCGGAGTGCCAGCTGCTGACCGTGTCCTCACTCAGACCCCGGAGTCCACCTCCCGGGCGGTCAGAGCGGCGGGGCCCCTGAGCAGCTGTCTCCGAGCATCAGTCCTCATCCCTCCGTCTGCACCGAGGACTTGTGGCCAAGCAACCCCTCTGCCTCTTACTGTCTGATTCCTGGTGCCGTTACCGCCAGAGTTCACATGTTCAATCCTGTCCCATGCGAGTTTTATCTTGTGCCTCTTTTTAAGTTACAACTTTTCTCTTTAAATAAAAGTGATAGCCAAATTTTCTACCTACCGTACTATGTATTTTCACACCGAGGCTAACATCTTACAAATTCAGCTAATTCTCAGGCACCGTTCTCCCGAGTGAGGCAGTGTTTCATTTTCCCCGAGGGGTGAGTTTTAAGGAGACGGACGGGTTGCACGGGGAGCGAAGGCGGCCTATGTCGGTGCAGGCTCTTCGGGGCTTTGTCTGCAAGCCCTTCACGCAGAAGCTTCTGTTTGCATCAAGGGCTCTCACCGCCTCAGACAGGACTGGGCCTTGGTCGTGCGCCCACACCTGGCGATGAGAAGTCAGCGGCAGCACGCGCACCTGCCGGTTCTTACCGAATGACAGGGCGGTGTCCTCTCAGGAAGGCCTGAGCCGGTGGGCGCCTCGGTGCCTCACTCTGCACGCTGCCAGAGGAAATGGCCTGGAGAGGTGTAAACCGATGCCTCTTGGAGCCTGCAGGGCCTGTCTCACCGAGTGGGGAGGAGAGGGGAGAGAGGGCTAATGGCAGGATGGGGCTGCATTCGACTACAGGTGAGTCTGGGAGGAGGTAGAGCAAGAACTGTGAGGGAAAACGGTCAGTTTTAGCAAACTGCATATTTTGAGTTTGCAATAAAACACTCCCCGATGAAATTGGATGCTATCACATATCGGCAGGGGAACGGCCCTTCCAGTGCGAGGTGAGGTCTCCCAGGGACCGACCCCAGGGCTGCAGGGAGAGTCTGCACCCGGGAGCCCTCACACCTGCCCCTCCCCAGGTGTGAAATGGTTTTGTGGCAAAATAGTGCCACCTTGTGGCCTCATTGGATTGAAAAGCTGAACTGAGGAATGTTGCCTAGGCCCATGTTGACAAGTATCTGTCCAGCACGTGTGGCTCCGTGGTTGAGCACTGACCTACAAACCAGGGGTTGTGGCTCGATCCGCAGTGTGGGGCGTGCAGGAGGCAGCCCGTCAGTGATTCTCTGTCGTCATTGATGCTTCTGCCTGTCTCTCCCGTCCTGAAATCGAAATATCTTCTATTTTATAAAAAAAAAAAAAGAAAAAAAAGCCTGTGGTGGTCATGCCATCGCGCTGGAATGACCAATCAGCAGGAGGCTGTGTGCTCGGGGTGCATGGGGACTTGACCAGAGGCGCCGGTGGGATTCTGGGTCCCGGGTCTCGCGAGATTTCACACTCTGGGCTTCTAGTATTTAAATAAAAACAGTCTTCAAAACAGTCTCCTTATGGAACCCCCCCCCCCAATCTACTGCCACACACGTGGGAAGCTAAGACAAGCAGCTCACGGCTCTCCCAGATTGCTTCTCAGGCAGAGCAGACTGAGAAAAGTGCCTGAGACTATAAAACCGTTTTTTTTGTTTTGTTTTGTTTTTTGTCTAATCAACAGACTTGATGCAGAGTTGGCATTGGCACTGCCCGTGGCTGTGCCCGAGGACGGGGCTGCGGGTGATGGCGGTCTGCTGGTCTGGAGGGAAGGGTGAGGACGCCGCTCCCTGTCCTAACGGGACACCTCCCCGGCTCTGGCTGTCGAGCCATTCATCAGCCCGTGTCTGGGTGACGTCGGCACGGGAACGCCGTGAACAGTTCTATGGAGGACGAGCAGCACAGTTAGAACCAGGCTGTCTCCACTCAGTCATTATCCCCGTTCTCCTCTCCGCCCACCTGCAACTCCGTTCTATGGAGGACGAGCAGCACAGTTAGAACCAGGCTGTCTCCACTCAGTCATTATCCCCGTTCTCCTCTCCGCCCACCTGCAACTCCGTTCTATGGAGGACGAGCAGCACAGTTAGAACCAGGCTGTCTCCACTCAGTCATTATCCCCGTTCTCCTCTCCGCCCACCTGCAACTCCGTAGCGCCTGGCTATGTGGCGGCAGGTAACTATGGCGACAGGCCTGCTCATAGGCAACCGACTGGCTCCTTCACAAAGCGTGTGGGTCCCGGTCCTTAGGGAGAGAAGCCATGTGTTCCTCTGGGTGCCAGGATGTGCTGTCAGTCCCGGGAAGTGATGGCGACAAGCTGATGGGACAGTGAACAGTGAACGGCCAGTGGTTAGACATCACATCACATATCACTCCCACCCACCCCACAGGCCGGGTTCTGTGGGCCATGGCCCTTCAGCCCCGCAGGCAGCCCCGTGGGGCTCACTTCCTGCCACGTCATGGGAGTGTGTGGCCGGCTCGGCATTCCCACCTGCCTGGGTGCGCTCTTAGCGCTGGGAGGGAGACATGTAAACAGTTCTCATCGTCTTCTTCCAAAACCCTTGGATGTAGCCACAGGGGAAGGTTCCCGCACACCGTCCTGCTGTCCCTCCCTTACAATCCTGGGGGATGGGGGCCCCTTCCACCAGCCAGCTGGGCAGGGCGGTGGGTGGCGTGCGGGCACTCAGGGGTACGGCTCCAGGCGGGGAGGGAGTGCTGGTCACATTTGGTTGTGGTTTTACCTGCAGAAAGGACCAGACTCTCCAGCTCCCATGGCCACTCCCCCAGCAGGGCAACCTCGCTGGTTGACTAGCTCCTCTCTGAACCTGGCTCCGGGGCTTTCCTGCGGTGATGGGGGGTGGGAGGGGGGGTTGGTTGCCCTGCAGGCCACTCTCCGAACCCCCTCAGCTCGGGAGGGCCTGGAGGAGGAGCCCGGTGGCCGTTCAGGGTCAGGGTCAGGGTTAGGCAGGCTGTCAGATGCCCTGCCTCTCACCCCCCTCGGCACCTCCTCCTGTTGGTGCCTGTGCTGCCTGTGTGTGTGCGAAGGCCCTGGCTCTGGCCAGCTCCCCAGCTGAGCAGCAGGAGGAGGAAGAGAGAAGCCACCAGATCTTTTTCTAGGTCTGTGGTCTGTGGGCACCAGGTGCAGACCGGCTGGAACAGTGCGCTGGGTGGGCAGGGCCGGGACCAGAGCAGAAGGCACACAGCAGTGACTCCTCCTCTCAAACCGCGCGTTCGGGGCACCTGCAGGGCAAGCCGCCCGCAGCCGCGTGGGGTGCGGGGAGGCTCCGCATCAGCAGCACAGAGCTGGCTCAGCTCCGGGAGGCGAAGCCCGCGTCCTGGGTCCTCCGTCCCCGGCGTCCGTGCTCACTGACACCCCCTTTCCGCACGCTGCTGCCTCCTTGGCACTGACCTCGGCCAACCGCACGCGCCTTTGCCTGGAAGAAGCCCCTTGCCGAAACCGGTGTGGCTCAGTGGATAGAGCGTCGGCCTGCGGACTGAAAGGTCCCAGGTTCGATTCCGGTCAAGGGCATGTACATTGGTTGTGGGCACTTCCCCGGTGGGGGGGGGGGGGTGCAGGAGGCAGCTGATCTCTCATCGACGTTTCTGACTCTATCCCTCTCCCTCCCTTCCTCTCTGTAAAAAATCAATAAAATATATATATATTTTTTAAAGAAGCCCCTTGCACGTCCCGGCCGCCGCCCTGAGGACCGGGATGGAGCCGGGCAGTGGTGCGGGGCCGCGGGAACGGTGAGGTCCCCCAGGAGCACGCAGGGGGAGTACGGCGGACAGGCGCCTGCCAGGAGCCAAGGGGAGCGCAGACCGCCGGGCGGAGAGCGCGCATGCGTGCGCCGCGGAGGGGGGCCGGCCCGGACGCGCCGGAAGCGGGGCACCCGGATTTCCGGTCGGCCCGGGGGGGCTTTCGGTTCCGGGTTCTCGGCGGCCGGGCGAGTGTCGGCCGCTGGGCCCGGGGCGCGGCCATGGAGAAGCTGCGGCGGGTCCTGAGCGGCCAGGACGACGAGGAGCAGGGCCTGACCGCGCAGGTGGGCGCCGGGCCGGCCCGGGGGCGGGGGCGGGGCCGCGCTGCCCGCACCTGGGCTGCGGGAGGGCTGCCTGCGCCCGGGGTCTGGGGCGCCGGGCTCCGGGGGTGCGGAGGCGGCTGAGACACGCCCGTCTGCTGCCGTCCGCCCCGCGCTGCCTGCCCGCCCCGCCGGGTCCGGGCGGAGGGTGCAGCCCTGCGCGGAGCTGCGCGCCCCGTGTGCCGGGCATCGGAGCCGCCGGAGGGGCGCTGTCTGTGCGAAGGAGGGGCTGCCGAGTGGAAGTTGCCGGAAAAGAGATTTAAAGACCTCGTGTCCACCTCCCCGGGGACTTGATAAGGTTACTTCCTCTGTGAAGTTAAAAATAGGAGCGAAACTGCCTCCTCAGTGTTTTTTGTGCGTTGCATGCTGACCAATTCCTGTTGGCCTGGCCCAGAACTGGGCCTTGGGACAGGATTGTAGGAGGATGTTTTGTCTGCCCCTTCCCTGTCCTCACTCCCTTCCCTGTCCTATTGCTCAGCACACCTGTGGGCGGGGTCCCGGGGCGGGGGGCGGGGTCCTGGGCGGGGGGCGGGGAGGGTCCCGGGCCGGTGGGCGGGGTTTAGAAGCTGTAAGACAAGCACTTGCTCTTAGGGAACTAACCAGTTTTTGAGTCAGTGGTAGTGCCAGAGCCCACAAGTCCTAATAGGAGAGATGCCAGCGTGGCAGGAACGCGTCACCAGCTCACTCTTGAACAGTTGTGCCCCAGTTCATGTGCTCAGTCTCTGCTGTGCATTGGCCACGGCCACCGCCACACCTGACTGTTTGCCCTGATTACGGTAGTGTCTCAGTTGGGAGCTGGTGGAGGGCGTGATGGAGTGCCCGGCAGGCGGGGAGGAGCCTGGGGGTCTTGCTGTTCCTTGGGGTGAAGGACAGGAAGTTGCTTCTAGTCCTGGGAGGTGAGGCTGGAGCTCCCCTGGTGCCTGGCATGTGCCAGGAGGGTGTGCCCCGGGGTCTCCCCCGGTGGCTCTGGAAGCCAGGCCCTGGCCAGGCGACAGGCCCGTTTCTGGGAGCGAGTGAGGAGTGACGGGAGGTTGGTAGAACGAGGGGGGGCTCTCCTCTTGCACCCTGCTTCGTTCTGGGCCCTCGCAGGCCTCTGAGCGCGTCCGTGTCGCCCAGGTTCATCAGGGGCCCTCCCTCCTCCACCTCCACGCTGAGCTCCTCCTCACAGCCCTTCTGCCCCGATGGTCGTGGGTGGGCACTCGCTGTGAGGACAGCGGCCTCCTGGTTTCCCAGTCAGGAGCTCAGCTGAGCGGGAGAAAAGCCAGTTAAACAAGCCAGAGTGGAAGGGCTGCTTCCGCCTGCTGCCCCCTCCCCACCGGTCCCATTCTCCCGACAGACGGCACGGTCTGAGTCCGGGAGACAGGGAAGACGGGGTCCTCTCACCGCGGAGGAGGAAGCCCTGGACAAAGCCAGGGGGCAGTTCTAGGAGCCCTGCGGTCAGGGGGCGCGGAGGGGTCAGAGAGGAGAAAAGCATCTTCAGGTCCCCTCGCCCTGTGAGCGCCTCGCCGGCTCGATGGGGGAGGAGCTTCGGCTGCCCAGGGCTCGGGTGAAGAGACCAGGCAGAGGGTGTGAGGGCGTGAGGCGTGGGGCTGAGCTGGGCAGGGGCTGGAGGCCCAGGGCCCGTCCTCCGCTGCAGCTCCTTGCAGCCGCCTGGTGTGCTGTAGGCAGGGCAGTCTCCCGACACCCTTCACCAGAGGCAGGCTCCTCCCAGCACTTGGAGCTGGCCCCTCGGAGCACTCAGTACGAGATGCATGGATGGGAGGGTGGATGGATGGATGGGAGGGTGGTGGGTAAATGGGTGGGTGGATGGGTAGGTGGATGGATGGATGGGAGGGTGGGTGTGTGGGTGTAGGTAAATGGATGGGTAGGTGGATGGATGGATGGGAGGGGGGTGGGTGGGTGGGTGGGTGGTGGGTAAATGGGTGGGCGCATGGAGGGGAGGTGTGTGGCTGGGTGAGCTAGCCAGCAGAGGCTGAGGGTGAAGTCAGAGAAAAGCTTCCCTGTTAAGGTGGGGAGCGCGTCAGCAGGTCTCGGGCGGTGGAGATGGTCTCGGAGAGAACAAGGCTCTCCATGGAGGGAGCGGAGGCCGGTCAGTTCCCTGGGGCTCCAAGGGTTGGGCCTGAGGCTGGGAGCCGGCGGTGATCCAGGGCAGGGAGGGCAGGGAGGGGGTCTGGAGGGGCTTGCTGGTTGGTGGCAGCTGGCAGTGGGGCCTTCCACCCACGGCCTCCGTTAGTTTCCAAGGCTGTGGTGGCTGAGCCTTCGAGGAGGGCGGGCCAGAGAGGGCCGTGGCCTGTGCTCCTCCACGTCCTCCCGTTCGCTCGGTGGTCTGAAGGAGACGTGCAGGAGCTCTGCTCCGAGGGGCCTCAGCTGAGGCCACGTGTTCCTTGTTCAGTGCCGCGAGGCGCCGCCCGCACAGCTGTGCCCTGTGGTGGCCAGTCTCCCTTCTCCGCAGGAACCAGCGTCTCCCGCTGTGGCTCGCTCCTCCCTAAGCCGGCCGTGCTGTGTTCACGCCGTGTGCTGGCCACGAGCTGGTCCCGGCTGTGTGTGTGTGTGTGTCCCCGCCCACCGTGACCCACAGCATGCAGGGGGAGCCGTACGCTGGGGAGGAGAGGTCGCTGAGGGCCTGGTTTTCCTGGTTTTCCCCGTCGCTAGGCACGATGGGGGATCTAAAGTGGTTAGAAAGCGCCCTGCCTGGTTTGGCTCAGGGTAAAGCACTGGCCTGCGGACAAAGGGTCCCGGGTTCAGGTCCAGGCAAAGGCATGTGTGTAGCTCGGTTGCAGGCTCGCCCCCGCCCGGCCTTGGTCAGGGCCCGTGCAGGAGGCAGCCATCCAGTGTGTTTCTCTCACACCAGTGTTTCTCTCTGTCTTCCCCTCTCCCTTCCACTCTCCCTAAAAACCACTGGACACATATCCTCGGGTGGGGGTCAACAAAAACAAAATAAAATGGGTTAAGAGTGATGGGTGTTCCTTTGACAGAATCCTTATTCAGTTATTTTTATCTACTTTCATGCTACGTAAGGATTCACAGACTAATGGACACAGGTAAGGACATAGCAAAGGTATTGGGGCTTTTGCATGTGAAACTGTCTGTTTTTACTTCATTGTTCTTGGAAACACATTATCCGCAGGCTTGTTAAGTCTGTGCTGCAGTGCTGGACATTTCAGTTTTGGAGTGTAAGTTCTCACGTGTGTTTCTCCTGTCCCGCCTTACTGGGAAGCCGTGTGTTATGGCGCCCGTGTACCCGCGTGTGCCCGCTCACGGTCATGCATGCCGCTCTGTCCCGCCTCCCGCGGGCCCAGGCGGCTCCGCCTGCCCACGGTGTTAGCCCTTGCGTGATGAGCAGGGATCGCCAACCTTTGGGCCTCCCGGGCCGGTGGTCCGCAGACCCAGCTGGGGACGGCCGCTCTGGAGTAGGTGGGTAAGCACAGGAGGTTAGCGCTGGCGGCCGCCCCGGCTCTCCCAGCTGCTGCAGTGACACTGTACAGCGGAGCTTCAGTCAGGGGGTCCGACGGCAGACACTGCTGGCTGTGCAGGTCCCCATCGCCAGGCCGCTGTGCCCCCGGCCTCCAGGATCTGAGCCGCTGGCGGAGGAAGGTTCCGGAAGGCCTCTCCAGCCCCACCCTCCCCGCAGGCACCTCATCTCAGCCACCCAGACAGGTGCTGGGGGCGGTGTGAGCCCTGGGCGCCACGCCGGCTCAGCCTTTGTGAGCAGCTCGCCCGCCTTCTTGTACCTTCCCCTGCTGCTCACACCCCGTGCTTTACCCTCTGTCTTACCTGGATGCCGTGTCCGTGTTGGAGTGACGTGCTGTCTAACCGGAGCACTGTCCTGGCTTCGCACCCGCCCAGAGGCCAGCGGTTCCTCAGGGCCGCCCGGTCCCGGGCCGCCTTGAGCTTCCCTAACCATTGGGCCCTCCTGCCGTTGGCACAGTGACACACGTCCCCCCCAGGCTCGGGGACTGGCCTGGGTGGGTGTGAAGAACGGTGCTGTGTGGCCCCAGCGCGCTCTGTTCCCTCCCAGGTCCTGGACGCCTCCTCCCTGAGCTTCAGCACCAGGCTGAAGTGGTTTGCCATCTGCTTCGTGAGCGGCATCTTCTTCTCCATCCTGGTGAGTGGAGGCGGGCCCTGTCCTCTCGGCGGCGGCGGCTGCGTCCGGGGCTCGGGCTGGGTGGGGCCTCGCCAGCCTCGTGAAGGAAGGGCAGAGATGTGCAGAGATCCTGCAGGAGTTAATATTGGGGGATTAATGGTTCCTTCAGTTAAAAAAATCCGAAGGAGCTGGAGCCAGTAAGTGAGATGTTAATACCTTTTAACTCCCTGTAAAAGGAGGGTGAGTAGACTTAGCACACGTGTGAGGAAGCTGGGCTGTGGCTCAGCTGTCTGTCCTTGAGACAGACCCAGGATTCAAACTGGCAAGTAACAGTGACGTTAACATTGAAATGGCCTGGGCCTGCGTCGAGCGCACTTAGGCCTAACACTCCCGCGTCCCGAGCCCCCAGCACGGCTCAGGGAGCACGGCTCAGGGAGCACGGGCAGGGAGCACGGGCAGGGAGCACGGCTCAGGGAGCATGGGCAGGGAGCACGGGCAGGGAGCACGGCTCAGGGAGCACGGGCAGGGAGCACGGCTCAGGGAGCACGGCTCAGGGAGCACGGGCAGGGAGCACGGCTCAGGGAGCATGGGCAGGGAGCACGGCAGGGAGCACGGGCAGGGAGTACGGGCAGGGAGTATGGCTCAGGGAGCACGGCTCAGGGAGCATGGGCAGGGAGCACGGGCAGGGAGCACGGCTCAGGGAGCACGGGCAGGGAGCACGGGCAGGGAGCATGGCTCAGGGAGCACGGGCAGGGAGCACGGGCAGGGAGCACGGCTCAGGGAGCACGGGCAGGGAGCACGGCTCAGGGAGCACGGCTCAGGGAGCACGGCAGGGAGCACGGCTCAGGGAGCACGGCAGGGAGCCCTCCCCCTGCAGCCCACCGCTCTCCGTCTCTGCAGGGCACGGGGCTGCTGTGGCTGCCGGGCGGCATCAAGCTCTTCGCCGTCTTCTACACGTTTGGGAACATCGCCGCGCTGGCCAGGTGCGTGCGGGCGCGGCTCCTCGCCACCAAGTTCCTTCCCGGCACACCTCCCGGCAGGGCGTGCTTCCGTGGCTCTGATTCCGTGTTCCCGCCACGAGTGTGTGACTCCTGCGCCCTCTCCCCACAGCACGTGCTTCCTGATGGGGCCCTTCAAGCAGCTGAAGAAGATGTTCGAGAGCACGCGGCTGCTGGCCACCATCATCATGCTGGTGAGTGGCGGGGGGCGGGGGCCCGGTGATGTGTGTCTGACCGAGCACCGTCTGACCTCTGTGAAGGGCCGGCCGCATTACTGCCTCCCCGCCACGCCGTCTCCCTCAGCCTGCCGTTCTCTCTCTCTGTCTCTCTGTCTCTCTCTCTCTCTCTCGCTTGCTCGCTCGCTCGCTGCCTGTGGTGGTGACGGAGGCCCCACAGGATCGGGGGAGGGAGTCCGAGCCGCTGCCTGTCCTGGTCCGGCCACGCGCGCTCTCGGGGGCTGCTGTGGGCGCTCTGGAAGGGGCTGGCCGCCTGGGGGCCTCTCGGAGGCTGGCTTTCGTTCAGTGCCCTGCGCCCTGCGCTGTCCCTCCGTCGCTGGCTCCAGCTGTGGGCTGTCCCTGGCCGTCGGCCCCACTGCACTCAGTGCTCTCTGGTCTCTGGGTGTTGGTGTTAGGAACATTTATTTCACTGTCACGCGTGTGGTGTTCACGGACCTGGCTTTGGGCGTGCTGGGCAGAGGGAGCCCCCACCCCTCCCGCCAAGCCTGTCCGAGTGCTGCCCTGCGTCTCCTGCAGAGCTCTCCCTAAGCTGCGAATGAAGTGCTGGCTCTTTGAACACGTCTCTGCAGGTCTGTAGGTAGGAAGTGTTCAGGGTAAAGTGGTCTTCTCCCTCCTCCTGGCAGAGAGAGACCTTTCAGCCCAGTTCTTTATTCGTGTCCTTACTCAGCGTCCTCGTCCTCGTCACATTGTGTCCATTGTGTCCCATGGGCCTCCTGACTGTCCTGCCGGCTCCTGGAGCAGCAGGGGTGTGACGGTGACCTCTGAGGCGGAGGCGGTGCCCGCACTGTTAGACGGAGGCGGTGCCCGCACTGTTAGACGGAGGCGGTGCCCGCACTGTTAGACGGAGGCGGTGCCCGCACTGTTTGACGGAGGCGGTGCCCGCACGGTTAGGCGGAGGCGGTGCCCGCACTGTTAGGCGGAGGCGGTGCCCGCACGGTTAGACGGAGGCGGTGCCCGCACTGTTAGACGGAGGCGGTGCCCGCACTTTTAGGCCCCGCAGGCCCCGCTCACTCAGGTGGCACCCGAGCCTGAGTGCAGCGCCCTGCCTGCCCGGCACCGTTAGGACACAGCCTCCCGGGGCTGCGCGAGGCGCCTCAGGCCTGACGGTGCTGACTCCGCACTCCCGGCCGGACGCTGTGCACGGCCTCGCTGCTGCTGACGGGATTGTGCCTGACCACGGCGGAGGCGTGCTGGCACTTACACCTTCTGAGTGCCGCCCCCACCCCCAGCACGACAGACATGCTCTGATCTGTTCACTGCGAAGGAAGGAGCAGGCGGGCAGGTGCTGTCCTTTCAGGGAGAGGTGACCGAGGCCCAGACCTCCTGCCTGTCACTGGCCCGTCGCTGCCCCTCCATGGGAGAGGACACTCCGGGTGCTTCTGAATGCAGGGTGCTCATCGCCTTTGGGGCCTGCTGCACTGCGGGCCGCGGAGTGGGCGCCTGGCTGCACGCTCTGGTGACAGCCACGCCAGCGGAGGCGGCGATGTGTGCCTCGTCCAGCTTCTGCGAGGACGCACTCACCGCGCTCTCCTCCCCAGGTGTGCTTCGTGCTCACGCTGTGTGCTGCTCTGTGGGTGAGTACGTGGGCCGCCTGCTTCCCACTCCCCGTGCCCTCCAAGGAGCTCCCCGCCTGCCCTTAGACCACCCACGATGGTGTCCCTAACACTGTGGGGGTGACAGACCTGCCTGGCTGCTGCGGCTGGCACGGCCGGGCTGGCTGTCCTCCCTGCGGCCAGGCTGCCCGCCCGGGAGAGCGGACACCACGCCCCGTGATGGAGGGAAACTCCTACCAGTCCTTGCAGGTCCCGGAGAATTGCTTTCTGGCTTTGGAACGGGCTAGCAGCCGTTTCTTTATAAGCGGCAGATTATGTAAAAAGTAAATGACAAAAACGGACAAGGAATTCTAAAGGTGGATCATGTAAAAAATCATGGAAACTGTTTATTATGCATTATAAAAAGATCCCAATCAAAGGCAGTTTTCCTTCAAAAAATAATTCAAGAAAAGGGGCAAGTGAGACTGAGTAAGATCTGCAAGTTCTACAGAGCGGTCAGCTCTGCTAGTTCCGAGGGGGCAGCGGTCACGTGACTCCAGCCCTAGCCGTGCAGAGGCAGCCTGTGCGGCACCAGGCGTGGGGAGGAGTGAAGTCAGCGGCTGCGCAGTCAGGTTTCACACCTGCTGGCGTGTCCTGGTCACGCTGGACCTGCAGAGGGAGCTGCCGGCTGGCTGTGGAGGGGGCTGTGCAGGGGGAGGGCACAGGAGGTGGGAGTCTGCCAGCTCCTCACCGCTCTTGTCTCCCGCGCCAGTGGCACAAGAAGGGGCTGGCCCTGCTCTTCTGCATCCTGCAGTTCCTGTCCATGACCTGGTAAGTCCCGCCCGCGAGGAGTCCACGCTCCTGCTCATGGAGCAGCTGCTCCAAGCCGGGTGTGCTGGCGGGGGGGGGGTGTGCCTCGGTGGGCCAGGCCCCGGACCTCTGCTGGGGGCGTCTGCCGGGGTCCCCCAGGACTTCCCGGACTCCGTGGTGACTGCGGGTGTGTGTGTGTGTGTGTGTGTGTGTGTGTGTGTGTGTCAGGTGGGGGAGGGGTCCTGTATAATCACACCAGGTGCCTGACCTTGTCTCTGAGATTGAGGGAGAAGTGGTAACACGTGCAGGTGATGCTGGAGGAGTGCTCTGCTCCTCGCTGGGCAGGCGCTGAGGTTCTGGTTCCCGCTGAGGACCGAGGTGGGAGCAGCTGTGGTCCTGCTGTCTGTGCCCGGCACGCCCTGCTCCCCGCCCTACGTGGCCCTGAGCCCTTCGGCCCGGCCGCACCCAGTGAGGGGCTGAGTGCTCTCCTCCCACCGTCTGCGTCCCCAGCGCAGAGTTTGGTTTTTTCCTCCCGGGGCCAGCCAGCCAGCCCTCCTGCTGGCTGTTTCCCAGCCTGGGCCATCTTTCTTTGGCCCGTTTCTTCCTTTCCGCCCCTACGTGTACCGTCAGCGGATGTTACCCCGCGGCCGGGGGCTGCTGGGGGCCTGCCCCCCTGCGTGTTCTCTCCGGCTCTGGGCCTGCGCGTGGCCCCTCCTGGGCTGATCACAACCGTTACAGCGTCCCAGCCTAATTTGCATATCACCTCTTTTTATATAGATAGATAACTGTAAAAGGGTAACTTCTTATTACAGCAGCTCAGACTGGAGCAGGCTGAGTGCTCAGAGTTTGGGCTCTGGAGGGTGCGGAGGCGGCGGTGCTGAGCTGCTGGCCGGGTCTCGCTGGGGTGGGGGGGTGGGGGGGCTGTGCCGGGCCTGTGCTGCTCCGGAGGAACGCGTTGACTGCGTTTCAACAGCTGCCCTTCCCTTGCAGGTACAGCCTATCGTACATCCCGTATGCAAGGTGAGCTGTGAATCCCTCCGCGTCAGTTAGTGACACAGAAACCATCGGCTTAGTCGTTCTCACAGTAAATTGTGGCTTAGATGGCGGACATCCTTCCCACAGGAGAAGGCATTCTAAGCGGGACGGGTAAAAGGAAGTTAGTGTGGGGGCGCCATGTGACCGTGCTGGCGGGTGGGCTGGGCACGGACTCCTGTCTGGTCAGTCGCCTGGTCCTTTGCTGCCGGCACCTTGGACGAGAGCTTCTGGATCCTTCCACCACGGCAGAGTCGCTAGATGGGCCGCGGAGACTCCAGCAAGACAAATTCTATTTCTTTAAAGAGAAGTTAGTGAGAGAGTGGGGTCTGGCAGGAGGGCCGTTCTCAGCCGTAGAAAGGTCTGTCCTGTGTCAGCCGCTGCCCTGTCCCTCAGACCTGGGCTTGTCCTGGACGGCAGACTCGCCTGCCTGGCCGCCCGGGCCGCACATGGCGGCCGCTCTGCTCGCTGTAACGGAGGCCGGTGCGAATGAGAAGCAGCGAGGCTGTGGCCTAAGAGCAGCGGAGGCAGCGGGCAGAGGGTCCCTGCGCTGGCAGATTCTGACCTGGTTAACCCCCCGCCCCCCAGGGACGCCGTCATGAAGTGCTGCTCCTCCCTCCTGGGCTGAGGACAGACCGGGACCCGCCTGTGGAGTGGCCGCTGGTTTGGTGTTTTCTGAGCCGGCGACCACCCTCCCGCCGTGCCGTCAGCACAGGGACCGCGGCCGAGTAAACTGTGACGCTTTCCCCGGAGGCCGACCAGCCCTCGAATGCCTGTAGCGTTCTCCTAGTCCTTCCCAGCCGCATTGAGCTGTGAATATTCAGGGCTAAGTCTCCGCTGCACGAATCTTTCTGGCTTTCCTAAATGTCAAGATTTAAAAATACTTTAATGTGAAAGTTTTTACTTTAAACTAAAAATTGCTTATTATATGTAATAAAATAATATATAAATGTTTACAATTTTAAAATAAGCCCATTCTTGGATTGAATTTACAGTCTTTTAAGTGGGCGGAGCCTTGGTTCAGTGGAGTGAAATTTGGGACTCCGTGGGGAGAGTGGACAGCAGGCGGGCAGGTGGGGGACCAGCCGCTGGCCACCCAAGAGCCTGCTGGGGGGCAGGCCAGAGCTAGAGCATTGGTGGGATTATCACCAAGGAGACCCTGGAGGGCCCCCTCCCCCCCGCAGGTCCCCCAGCCAGGTCCCCCCAGCCAGGTCCGCCCATCCCCCCCCCAGGTTCCCCCCCGCCAGGTCCCCCCCCCAAGTCCCCCCAGCCAGGTCCCCCCATCCCTCCCCCAGGTTCCCCAGCCAGGTCCCCACCCCCGCCCCCCGCAGGTCCCCACCAGCCAGGTCCCCCCCAGCCAGGTCCCCCCCCCCGCCCCCCACAGGTCCCCACCAGCCAGGTCCCCCCCAGCCAGGTCCCCCCATCCCCCCCCAGGTTCCCCAGCCAGGTCCCCCCCCCCCGCAGGTCCCCACCAGGCGGAGGAGCTGCCCTCGCTGCCCTGGGTCCATGCAGCCTGGCGGCTGGGGGCCCCTCAGGCCGTGCCCATAGGCAGTGGTGCTTGGCCCCTTCCGCCTCATCCCCAGGCCCCACTCCGACAAAGCCCCCACTGCCTCCGCACCTGTTCCCCTTCACCACGCCCCTGCCCCCCACACACACACACACATGCCGAAGTGGCAGCACCTGGAGCCAGTGCTGCGCCTTCAGAGCCTGGAGGGGCCTGGGGGCTGGGCTGCCCGCACTCACCACTCCCCCACCCCCACCTCCACCTCCCCTCCCCCCAGGACCTGAGCGGGTGGGAGGGGAGAGTGAGTGACAGCTGCGGCCGGTCTGGAAGCTGCACTTGCACTGGGAGGAGGTGTGAGTGTGGGGTGGTTTGGGGGTGCTGCTGCAGATCGGGGTGCAAACCCTCCTCCCTCCCAGCCCTTCCCGCTGCGGTGCCTGGGTCCTGGCCCAGAAGCTCCCCGGCTGGAACACGGGCGTAGGGTGCAGGGGCGGCCAGGGGCTGGGAGGGCTGCCCTGCCCGTAGGTAGGACCACTGGCCCAGCCGTCTGAGTCCCCTCTGACCTCTGGCCGCTGTGCGCTCCCCTGGGCGCCGGGCGCTCTTGCTCCATCAGCCGGTGTGAGATGTAACCGAATGTTCTTGGGAAGCAGGCGCTTCCCTGCGACTGATGTTGAAAATTCATGTGTGTTTATTGATTTCAGAGCGGAAGTGGGAGGGGGAGAGAACACCAGTGATCCACCGTGACTCTGAGCGGGGTGGGGGCTGAGGCGGACTGGCTGGTGCACCGCGTCCTAACCGCTCAGACTCAGCCCCCCTCTGAAGGCCAGGGCGCCCCCCAGCCAGGACCTAACTGTGGGCGCTCCCATCGGAGCCCCCAGGAACCTCAGAAAGGCCGGCTCCTTCCTGCCTCCTGACCCTCAGGCACAAGGACCCCTGTGCCCACCCGAGCTGGGCAGCTGGGTGTTCCTTCTGAAATGCCGGCCCAACGTGAGAGCGATTCACACGGGGCCTGTTCCCCCGTCCGCGCCCCAGCCCGGCGTCTCCGCCCGCCTCCGGCTGCGGCCGCCCTGGACCCGGGCAGCGTCCTGGCCGCTTCTCCTGCGGGCGCGGGGGCACAGGAGCCCGGGGAGGGCGGAGGGCGGAGGGCGGAGGGCGCGGCCTCCAGCCCCGGGAGCGCCCAGCGGGCTGAGGAGGGAGGACGGGCCGACGGGGAGGGCCGGGGACTGGGGTCACCGCTCCTCTCAGCGCTGTGCTCCGGGCTCCAGGCTCCAGGCTCCGTGCCCTTCCGGCCGCCCCGCTCCGGAGGCCCCTGCCTGCCGCGCCCCAGGCCCGGCCCCTGCGCTCCCTCTGGCCCGGCCAGCCCCGTGCGCCCCGCGGGGACCCCGGGGCCACCGCGCTCTCCCCCGCGCCCCGCCCCGCCCCGCGGCCCCCGAGGGCCCCCTGGAGAGGCCGCCGCTCCGCCCGGGGCCGCCCTCTCGCCCTCCGACGCCCGGGTCCAGGCCCGGGAGGCAGCCCCGGGGCTGGGCCTGCGCCCTACTGCGCCCCCGCGCCGCCCGCTCCCAGGAGGCGCCCAGGCCCCGTGTCCAGTTCTCGGCGTTTAAATAAAAGACAAGCCGGGCCTGCCTTTCTGTTTGCGGAAGATGCGGACGCCCGGCCAGGAAGAGCGAGGTCCCCAGGCACACAGAACCCTCCCGGGGGCAGAGGGGGGTCCCCATGGTGCCCCCAGTGTCTGGGGCTGCAGTTACCGGGGCCAACGTTCAGCGATGACCAGATATGACGACGACAATGAGGCTTTGGTCCCAAAGGCCGGAGAGCTGCTTCCAGATGCCCCCGAAGATGGGCCGCCAGGCTCGGGCTGGCCGCATGGACTTCCTCCTCTAACAGTGTTTCCCGAACTTCCGACCTGTGTGCACCCCTTCTATCATTTTCCTAACGCTGAGGACCCCTCGTGCTCATGAGAACGTAGAATTAGGCGCAGCTAAGCACGGTGCAGGGCATATCCCACCAAACTCCCCGCACCCCTGGGGGTGCGCGTACCACACTGGGAAACACTGACCTAGAACATCCTTCTTCCGCCAAAAGCAGGTTCCCGGGGACAGGCACAGCCATCGGAAGCTGAAGGTCAATGTGAGTGACGGGCGGGCGGGGCGGGGCTGAGCCTGGCCCGGGGCACGGGTGCTGGCCGGCCGGATCTGCCGTTGGCGCTGACTGGCAGAGCCAGGCGCCCGCACCCGGGAACGGTGCCCGCTCTGCACCGACGGGGCCTCGGACAAAGGCCCCTTCATGCCTCGAGCAGACAGTCCCCCTCTGAACCCTCAGCGGGTCTGCGGAGAAACACCGGGGTGACGGAGGGCGAACCCCAAACCTCGGAGGAGATCCCTGCGAACAGTCGCCTGTCTGCCTAAAGCACAGCCGTCCCAGCCCCGGCAGCTGCGGCGCCCATGGCCCCTGGCCTCGCCCAGGGGAGGTGCTGTCTGAGTGACAAGCGTCACGGGACTGTGGACACAGACAGTGGGCAGTGAGGGCCAGCGCTGGACGAGGTCAGTGCGGGGAAGAAGGACCTCTGCAATGTTTTCAACAACAGATTTCTTTAAAAAAATATTGATTTTTTACAGAGAGGAAGAGAGGGGGACAGAGAGTTAGAAACAATGATGAGAGAGAAACATCGATCAGCTGCCTCTTGCACACCCCCTACCGGGGATGTGTCCGCAACCAAGGTACATGCCCTTGACCGGAATCGAACTTGGGACCTTTCAGTCCACAGACCGACGCTCCATCTACTGAGCCACACCGGTTTCAGCAACAACAGATTTTTTTAATTAGGAAAGTCCCGGCACTCTCCCTGAGGACGCTCCTCGGAGTCACGCCCTCCCGCAGACGAGGGAGAAAAGCTCACGTGTTGTAAGTGCGGCACAGAGGTGACCTGCCGACTCCCGTCCGAGGAGAAGGTGGTGCAGTGGCACCAGAACCACAGCTTCTGCCCCGCGGAACCCCAGGGCGGGGGCAGGTGGGAGCGGACACAGGCCGGAGGGCGGGACCAAAGGTCTGCACGGAACCACAGCCTTTGCAGCCGCGGGCGCTGTCCAGCAGGCTGTGGTGCTGAAACCTGAGGTCTCATGGGGACAAGCGAGCCCCCTTCTGGCCACAGGTTCTCGCCCAGCTTCTGTGTGTTCGAGAGGTCAGCCCGGCCCGGGTGGCTCAGTGGCTGAGCACCGGCCTATGAACCAGGAGGTCAGGGCACAGGCAGAGGGCGTACAGGAGGCAGCAGATCCGTGACTGTCTCGTCACTGATGTTTCTCTCTCCCTCTCCCTTCCTCTCTGAAATCAATGAAAATAGCCTATTTTTTTGAAGCTCATTTGGCCCTATTGCTCCCTGAACTCGCTCACTCTGTATATTTGACTCAGACGTGGGGGTGTAAGGAAGGTGGGCCTTCCTCTGGGTGACTGCTGACTTCCCGGCGGAGTAAACACGAGCCCGGTGTGCTCAGGGGAGGCCGGTGGCTCTGGAGGTCACGAGTCTGGAAAGGTCCCCGGAGAAGCCCACGTTTCTGTGGGCGGAGGCCAGGCCTTGGGGAGCAGGTGCGGGCGCGGCCTGAGTGCACGTGACACAGACCGCGTGGTCTTTAACGTCCTCTGTCCGGGTCCTCAGCTCATCCCCGGCGCCGGGCCACGCTCGGGGCAGTGGCCAGCCCTGTGTCTTTGCGGGCGCCTGCAGCCTGGCCGGCTCGAGCCGAGCTGAGCTGCCCGTTGGGACTCAGCTCTGAGCCGAAGCCACTTGCACGTGCGTGAGCCCACGGAGCACGTGGCAGCTGGAAACCCGCCGGGACACGGAAGCCCATGCTGTGCTGGGTCTCACATTCCTTCTGTCCACTGCTGAGCTGTGCAGCTCCCGGTTCTCGGGCGCCCTCTGGAGGCGGGAGGGGGAGTGGGCGCGGCCGTGGGGGCCGGGGGGCAGGTGGGGGCCATGGAGACCTCAGCCTCCCCTCACGGCCACGGCCATGCGAGTCGCAGGACAGCGGTGTGCAGGCAGGTCCCCGGATGCAGTGACGTGGATTTGTGGTAACTCTGGGGCTTCCTGTGTTCTCTGAAGGGGCAGGTTCTGCAGCCGAGGGGTGGGAGGGGGTGAACACGGAACAGTGAGTGCACCTGCAGCCCGGCCGCCGGCCCCACTGGAGCGCGGGGGCTGAGGGAGGCGGGTGGTGGTAAGGGATGTCAGCAACGAAATCCGAGTCTTTACTCTTCCTCAGTCCACACGCTGCCCCTCTGAGCCGCCTGCTCGCCCTGTGCTAAGGGTCAGGGTCTGTAAGAGGCGACACCAGACACCACACCGGGTCAGAGGTGCAGGCGTCAGGGAGTTAATTGGAGAAACCCTCGGAGGGATGCTGGCTGGGCTCATGGAGAAAGCTGAGGCAGGTGAGGG